ATGGTTGCATGGTGTTGGGTTGTGCAAGGACAGGCCCGAAGACCGCGTAGCGCCTTTTAAGAAAGGTGCGACACGGGTTTGATGTCTCCCTTCTTCTCCCATCGTTCCTTACTCATCTGTCTGAAACGCACTGCTTCATGTTTTATAGGAGGAGTCCTTTCATCTCCTCATTCTTTGTCTCACACGAGTAGCTATAGCCGCATCGTTTAGTTTCCCCCCATTGTTTCACCTCTCGCCATGCCTGACACGGGTGGCACTGACGATGCTCCTGCTGATGGTGATGAGCCATACAGTCGGAAGGAGCCTGCCGTAGCGCCGAGGAGAGGCTTAGATTTCTTGGGGCCCGTCACCGCACCTGTTCCTCCCCCATCGGTCGCCCCAGCCGCAGTCGACGAACCACTGCGCGTCGAGCTACCGTTGCCATGTAGTCCAGCCTCCGTTCCCTACGTTCTCCCACCAGCTGTAGGATCTTCTAGCAGAGGGCATATAAAAGATCCTGTCGACTGCGCCACCGCATCAACCGTTCCATACAGCGTTCCGTGCGTGTCTACTGTGTCTTCGGCGAAGAAACATCGCACGACGAAGTACACGCAACAGCGGATTAGCCTTGGTGGCCAGATTCGCCCCCCTTCACCACCGCGCTCACCTCCCCCTATCACCCGCCCTGATGAACCACCGCCACCGAAGTTAAGGACAAAGGAGATAATCGAGAAGAAGTACCTAATCGCTGAAGCTAAGTACAAGAATGATTGGCTTCGCTACTTCCCGTGGCTGATACTTACCCGTACTAAGGATGGGTACCCCACCCTTAAGTGTAGTGTTTGCCGAGCTTTCGTGAAGGAGACGACGAAGTACTCAAGTCCAGGCGAAGGCGGGCGAGATCTCCAGACCCAGATGATGCACATCCACGAACACTCTACGGTCCATGAAGACGCGGTTCGCCGACAGTTGGAGATACAAGAAGACATCGACGACAAGCAGCAGAAGATAACGAGTTTTGTCACCGAAGATGTCGAGGGTCGTCGCGTCATCCGTCTCTTACGGTGCATCGAATTTCTTTGCAAGAGCAATGCTCCTATCGCCATGTTTCCACGGCTGCTCCGTTTCATGGCAGAGCAAGACACGCCTAATATTTCTCTACAGTCGTACGGAGTGTATCTAACCAGGTGAGGTTACGATGTTATCGCTCAGCGTCTGTTGAATTTCTGTTGTTTCCCATATGTTGACGTCAGATAATGAAACGTATTCTAACGAGTGACTGTCCGTCATCCTCTGCAGGTACGGGTTCCAGCAGATGGTCAACTGTCTGTCAACACATTTGCTGGAAACTCAGATGGAGCACATGAAGAGCTCACCCTACCTCGGCATCTCATGCGATGAGAGCACCAACCGCACGCGACGGAAGCACCTGATTATCTACATCACCTTCATGCGTATGCGTCGAGTCGTTACGGATTTCCTCGCTCTGCTAACCGTGGACAAGTGCGATGCAACTTCTCTTATGTCCATTCTCCTACTGCACCTGGAGTCGTCCGGCATCGATCTTCAAAGCATCGTCGGCATCAGCACTGACGGAGCGTCAGTGATGGTTGGTCGTGACAATGGTCTTGTTGCGCGCCTGCGTGACATCATCCCGCACCTCGTTTCCTCCCACTGCATCGCCCACAGGTTTGTGGTACTATTGTGCACAGCTTCATTCTCGGGATTTGTGTCTGTGCGCTAACCAACGTCCTTGTGTATACCTGCAGGGAAGCCCTAGCTGTGAAGGATGCTGCCGCCTCGTGTCCAGACCTCGACATGGTTGATAAGGTTACACGCACCCTTGCGGACCTTCTCGGTCGGTCGACCGTCTGGAGCGGACGCTTCAAGTACTTCCAGCGCGCGATTCACAGCATGAACTTGGAGGTGCAAGGCATCCATCAAGTTCGATGGCTGTCTAGGGGTGAGGCCATCCGACGCCTATGTAAGGTGTTGGGTGCTGCGATTGTGCTGCTGTATGAGTATGAGCATCCCCTGTATGAAGTTGTGACCTCGTATAAGTTTCAGTTCTGCCTATTCTACCTGGTCGACATGCTCGCAGTCATGAACGACCTCAACCTCAAGTTCCAGAAACGTGAGGTGAGCTGTTCAAGGCTGCGATGGTGGTGTTCTCCTTCTCTATTTGTATTAATATCTCCTCTGGTTCTCTGTCACCGTGTGTCCCCCATCCCAAACCGCAGGTCGACGTGACCGAGGTGTCAATGGACATCGACGAGATGCTGGGGGATCTGCGGCACCGTTATGTCGAGCGTGGGGAGGTTTTCGGTGCCAGCACCGAAAACACTTGGCTGTCGGCATTCCTGAAATTGTACGGGCGTGGGGGGTCTAAGCGTGTGAAGGTGCACGGCATCGACAAGGAGGGGAACCCAGTCACCCACACGTAAAAAGATGCACGAGCGGCATCTCGACAAGCACCAGTACGGGAGCAGCTACTCGGAGTGCGCCCTGCTGTGCCAGAAACACGCGAAGGAGACCATGAGCAACGTACAACATCGTATGCGCGATCTGCGGAAGGTGTCACCGACGAAGCTGTGGGTGGCGGCGAAGTGGCCGAGACAGTGTGCGCAACGCGATAAGAAAACCAGAGAGTATCTGCTCGGCTGCAGTGGCATCTTCGACCACAGGCTGCCCGGATTCGACCTGAAGGCTGTGGAGATGGAGTTGGCGACGTGGGCGCCGATCATGCAGAACCATCACGAGGTGGAGGGCTTCCATCAGGTCCTAGCAAACTACCTCACGAAGACAGACTCGAGCAAGTAAGTCCATGGTTCTCGTGTTTACGCTTCAGTGCCTTCCGCTCTACTTGTGTTTGCTGAGCTATGCCGCCTTCCACTCTAGTTGTGATTCTGAGCTTTGCTCCCTTTGTTGACCACCTTGTAAACCGTGTACGTAATCTGCCTAAACACATCGCAATCCCTTTTGTGTCTTTCGTGCGCCGATGTTTTCATCCCGTGACAGGCGCTGGCCGAATCTGATGCGCCTTTGGCAGGCTTGCACTGTGCTGCCTCTGTCAACAGTCGAGTGCGAGAGGGGCTTCTCTAGGCAGAATGTTATTAAGTCCTGGGTCCGTGGCACCCTTTGCAACGCGCGCCTGTCCGAGCTCATGGCCATCTCGCTTTTGCAGTATGACATCGACTGGAGTAAAGCCCTCACGACATGGCGTCTGAAGCTGAGACGCCCTGCACGAACTGTTGTCTTTGCATCTGCGGAACGCAAGCGCAAGGGGAAGGTGTTATGAAGCTAGGTTAGCTAGGAAGGTAGGCGGCCATGAAATGGCGAGAGGTTTAGGAGCTAGGAGAGAAAGAGAGAAAAGTTACAAGAGAAAAGAGATAGAACTAGAAGAGAGAGAGGGATACAAGGAGGGGATTGTACCCTCTACATTAGAGTTTGATAACCTACCAAGCCTACACAAATATATATATATATAAATATATAATTTGACACACCTCCTAGGCTTGGTAGTCACTAACCCACCACACATGCAACACCTCTAAGCCTAGCACCCCCATAACCTGCAGAGGTGGCTACACGGAAAGAGGGCGCTAGGCCTTCTTGAACTGCGGCAGGGCGGAGCCAGCTGGCGTGGCGAGCTGGGACCGACGCTGCGAGCTGGGACCGACGCGGCGAGCTGGGTCCGCTGGGACCGACGCGGCGAGCTGGGTCCGACATAGCGAGCTGGGTCCGACATAGCGAGCTGGGTCCGACGCGGCGAGCAGGGTCTGACACGACGAGCTGGGGAGGTGCGGCGAGCTGGAGTGCGGGCTTGCTGCCTGGTGCCTAAACCAGTGCGCGGCCCACTGCTGCCCGTGCGCTGACGCGACGATGGCGGCACAGCGCCACAACGAAGCCCTGAGGCACGGCGACAGCACGGCGTGATGGGGCCAGCTCGGCGTGACGGGGCCAGCGCGGCGTGACGGGGCCAGCGCGGAGTGACGGGGCGAGCGCGGGGTGACGGGGCCAGCGCGGCGTGACGGGGCCAGCGCGGAGGGACGGGGCCGGCGCGGAGTGACGGGGCCGTCGCGGCGTGACGGGGCCAGCGCGGCATGACGGGGCCAGCGCGGCGTGACGGGGGGGGGGGAGTACGCTGCGGAAGCGTGAGGAGAAGGCCCGAGCGAAAGGGGCCTGCTCTAAAACCATATTATGAAGCTAGGTTAGCTAGGAAGGTAGGCGGCCATGAAATGGATAGAGGTTTAGGAGCTAGGAGAGAAAGAGAGAAAATTTACGAGAGAAAAGAGATAGAACTAGAAGAGAGAGAGGGATACAAGGAGGGGATTGTACCCTCTACATTAGAGTTCGATAACCTACCAAGCCTACACAAATATATATATATATATATATAATTTGACAGAAGGAGCTGGAGGTTGAGGGGGAGGCGGCCGAGACGACTGAGGAAGAAAAGGGGGAGGGGGAGGTGCCAGAGTATGAGGGGGAGGAGTGGGCTGGTGCGGAGGATGATACTCCAAGGATGGTCGACAATCCATTCCTGTCTGACGACGAGGGAGCTGATAATGATATTGCCGTAGATGCGCCAGAATTCTAGGTGGCTCTTAGTGAGTGGTTCCTTGGGTTTTTTTGTAGCAGTAGAAATAGTTTAGGCTCATGCCAAGAGTAGCACAATGTTCGTTTACATGAGGTTAGTTACTTTGTGGACTCTGTCGTTTCAGAGTACCAAAAATTTGGCTGAAGGCCCTTCAGAGTAAATCTTTTTCTAGGAGGTTGGCTCAGAGTGCCTTTTTTTTAAACGTCAGCCCTGATCACGACTCCTTTATTACACTACCTGTTATTAATCTTCTTGATTCATAACAAGCTATATCTTTCGTCTACAGTAGTATCAATTCTTGCGGTAGCAGGTGTGATTTGCTGCTGCTCCCTCGCCTCCCCCCAAGTGCCGAAACACCACTGGTTGTCCCTCTGTTTGCCTCGAATGCTCGCGCTCACGTCACCTGATTAGTCTCGCGAAATCTAGGATCCTGCACTGCGACCGAACAGTCATCAGACCAGGCGAATTTGGCAGTAGCTCTGTAAAAAGTCGCGTCGTAGTTCCGTCTCCGCTCTGCCGTCAGCCCAGGTTCATATACACGTACTGCCACCTCTTATCCCCTCTTACGTTTCTGGTTGACTCGCTTCGTCACTAGTTATTTCTAGTCGCCGGGGACATCGGCAGCACCCGCTCTCTCGCCACTTTGCACCCGTCACCACCGTGTCATTGTAGTATCCGGTATTAAAATCTAAGCCTCCCAACCGCACAGCAGTCCGTAGCCTCCACGAGCGCCACTCGTCCGCACCCGATCGCGCAACGCGGAATCGCGGCAGGATGGTGAAAGTGACGATGATAGCGCGGGCGACGGACGGCTTGCCGCTGGCTGAGGGGCTGGACGACGGGCGCGAGCAGCGCGAGGTGGAGGTGTACAAGCAGCAGGCCAAGGCGCTCTTTAAGCGCCTGTCGCAGGGCCTCCCCCAGGCGTCGCGCATGTCCATCGAGACCGGCCCCTTCTTCTTCCAGTACGCCGCCCGTCCTCCGCTCTCGCCCGCCCTTCTCTCTTCTCCTCCTTCGCTCGCTCCCCGCGTTCCGCGCGCGACTCTCGCCCCGTCTCCCTCGCTGGCCCTCGCTGGCCCTCGCTGCCTCGGATGACAGCTGCACTGCAAATCCGCCGGACGAGAGGGGTTGGGGAGCAAGGGGGGGTGGGGAAGTGTGAAAGCGGGGAAGCAAGGAAGCGGGGAAGCTGCACCGCAAACCCGACCTTGCTCTGTTTCGCCCAACCACCTGGCTATTCACCTCGACCCTTCCATCTTCCCCCACACCTCCCCCCACCCTTTCCTCCTCCTCCCCCCCCCCTCCAGCTACATAGTGGAGGGCGGCGTGTGCTACCTGACGCTGTGCGAGCGGTCGTACCCGAAGAAGCTGGCGTTCCAATACCTGGAGGAGCTGCAGCGCGAGTTCGAAAAGGTCAACCGCTCCCAGATCGAAACCGTCGCGCGCCCCTACTACTTCATCAAGTTCGGTGCGTCGGGGGGAGAGGTGCGAAGAGGGCAGAAGGCAGAGGGCATCGGGAGGAGGGGAGGGGGAAGAGGGCAGGGAGAAGAGGGCAGGGGGAAGAGGGCAGGGGGAAGAGGGCAGGGGAAGAGGGCAGGGGGAAGAGGGCAGGGGGAAGAGGGCAGGGGGAAGAGGGCAGGGGGAAGAGGGCAGGGGGAAGAGGGCAGGGGGAAGAGGGCAGGGGGAAGAGTGAGGGGAAAGAGGGCAGGGGGAAGGGGAAGAGGGCAGGGGGAAGAGGGCAGGGGGAAGAGGGCAAGGGGAAGAGGGCAGGGGGAAGAGGGACGAGGGGTGTATGGAGCGTGGTGGTTCAGTGCCATGACACATGCTCAACAGCTAGATGCCCGACCCTGTTCGCCTGTAGCCATGGTACCCTGCCATGCTCTCAACTTTCCCATTCGCTTCAGCTCCATTCGCCTCCCTCCCTCTCTTCCCACGCCACCCCCTCTCCTTCACCCACTCTGCCTGCTGCCCCTTCCGCCTCCCCAGTTTCAACCAGACCCGATCTTCTTTTTTCTTATACGAATTCTCCCCCTCTCCCCTTCTCCCCCTCCTTCCCTCCCATTCCCTCTCCCCCCTCACCTACTAATCAACCCTCCTCCTTCCCCCCCGGGCAGACACGTTCATTCAGAAGACGCGGAAGCAGTACCTGGACACGCACACGCAGCGCAACATCGACCGGCTGAACGACGACCTTATAGAGGTGCAGCAGATCATGACGCGCAACATCCAGGACGTGCTCGGCACCGGGGAGAAACTCGACCGTACGCCACTGCACCCTTGCCCGCACACCCGTTTTCGCCCCAACCGCCTCTCTGTGTCCTTTGAGGCCACTGACTGACTTGATGTATCGTTTTCCTCCTCCATACATTCTGGGAGTGTGCCTCCATCCCTCCTTGCTTCCTCCCACATACTGTCACACACTGTTGCTCCTGCCCTAGTTGGTTCGTGTGCGCGTGCCCTCATCTCTCACTGCACCACAAGCGTCCTCTTCTTTTCGTCCCCTCCACTTGTGGGAGCCACTTCACCACATAACTAGCCCCCCCAGCGCTCTTCTCCACAACCCCTGTGCCTCCCCGGCCTCATGTCTCCCCTTCTGCAGATCTGACGCAGGTGTCGAGCCGGCTGTCCACGGAGTCCAGTGCGTACGCCAAGAAGGCCAAGCAGCTCAGCCAACAGGTGCGCACTCACCACTCGCATTGTGCTGCGCGCTCTCCATGGCCGGCTACCTCAACCCCCCTTCTCGCTTGTCCTTTCTGTTTGACACACACACACGCAGACACTCAATTACACGGCTGCTATTTCCCTGCGCCCCTCATCCCCCACACGCATGTTTGTCTGCACAGGCTCTTCTGAGAAAATGGGCGCCCATTGCCATCATAGTGCTTGTGGTCGTCATGGTCTTCTATGCGCGCCGCCTCTTCTACTCGTGATCCACTCATTCATGCGCCTGCCACCACCATGCACCAGCAGCTCAGAGTCCCTTTAGCCTATATCCTGCATTTTCCAGGCCATACGTTGTGGTAAGGAGTGTAATCATTCGGACCTGTGCTGAGGGGAAGTTGTTTCCTAGGCCTTGGCAAATTTCAGCTCACTGTAGTCAGTTGATGTTCGGTGTGACGGAGGAGAATGTGGCATCTGGGGCATTCGACACATGGGAGTGGAGCTGACAGCAGGCAGCAATGACCTTCTTCGCTGGAATGTGCGTTACACCTGGCCCGCGTTAGTTTAAGGGGTGAAATTGGGCGGAAGCTACAGTTTTTCCGCCTCCTGGCCGTTTTTGGGGCAGCAGAGAGCATTTCCGTGTTCATAAGGGGCTGTCAGAAATATTAGAATATGTGACGTCCTAGGACGTCAAGAGAAGGCCAGTACGGTAACTATTATGGTTGAATATAGTGAATTCCTGGTTCTGCGACGTCCCGAAACCTTACGCTCCTACTTCGGACACCCCCTGAAGGCACGAGCCAGTAGAATTGAATGCGATGCTTACTCGACGACAGTTCCAAAATGCGGAATCTCACGTCGTAAACATAAGTTGTCTAGAAAACGAAGGTAGTTGCTTTTTCCAGGGGTCTCTCGACCGGGCTCTTTTGTGACGCTTCCCGAGGATGACAGCGAGAACCGTTAAAAATACTAGCGTTGAAAATAGCGCGAGCCAGGTGTACGATGCTCCTGCTTCAGCCTTCAGCCCAACAGCAAGGGCCTGTTCCTATACACCAGCAGAGACTTCATCCCGACCCAGCCTTAGGGAAATGGAGTGTACAGACCGTGCTGCCGGAGAATAAGAAAAGCAAGATCCAATGCGGGGGTTTTTGTCTGGCGCCCTCCTTACAGGTTCGTATTGGTTCTGCAGTCTTCCAATCCACTTGACTTGTGTCTCATGACCACTCGCTGTTCGTGTAACCACATCTGGCCTTCGCCCTATCTGACGACGGATGAAGTCCGGTAACCATACCGACATTCCCCGCCCCGAATCCAAATGTGCTCAATCCGCGAAACTGGACCCAACAAACGAACAAGCCACCCCTACACCCGAAAGTTTGGCGACAAGTTGTAAGTAGTAACGTTTCGTCAAATGATGCAGGGTGCTAACAGCCCTCCTCCCGAACCGCTTGCTCCAGCCTCTGACAGTCGAGCCTGGTCAGACGTCAGATTGCGCCAAAATTTGACTTGTCATCGCCCCGCCCTGCCCTCCCTGGCCCATGCTTACTCCACTCCCGCCTTCTTCCCCTCGCCTCAATTCTCTGCCTGCCTCACTGCCAATCTCGTGAGTCCAGACACTCACAACTCACGAGTCACCACCACTTCCCCGCTATCGGCAGGCAAGGGGCATCTTCGCCTCACGCGGTTCTGCCTCGGTTATTCCACGGCATCGCCGAACGCCATCGGGTTCTAGCTCTTCCATCCCTCGTGCCTTACGACCACTCCGGCTCCTAGTGGATTGTCTCCTGACTGCCGTCGGCGTGCTGTTGCGCCAACTACTCGGCTTGTAGAGTGCTTCCTTCCAACTCTCCGCCCTTCTTCACGCCACCCCTCAGTCTACCACGCATTCTTAGCTGCCCGGACTCTCAGGTCCATCATAGCTATAATGGCTCACACGCCGATGTCACCTTACCAGAGCAGCTGCGTGTGCGTCTTGTTTCTGCTCTTCCCCGCCGCGTTAGTCGCACGAGCCGCGTCCGCCGACGTGGTGCCGCTGGAGGGGAGGCGGTACGTGCGCGTGGGCGCGACGGACCCGAAGTTTAACTACGGGTGGAACCCAAAGGTCAACTTCACGGCGTGGGCCGAAGACCCCGCGAATCGCGTCTACGAAGGCGACGTGCTTGGTGAGTCACATGAATGGCGTAAGCTCGCCAATCAACACGTGGAGGCATTTCATGCTTTGAGGTCGAAAAGGTGCAGCCGCAGACTCACGCACGCCCTGTGCGCGCCCCCCCTCCCACTACCCCCCTCCCCCTCGCACCCATGGTGCAGTGTTCTACTACCCCACGGGCGCGGACGAGGTGTATCGCTTTTCCAGCCTCGCCGACATGCAGCGCTGCGCGTACCCCAAGGCCACGCGCGTGTGCCGCGACGTGGACGGCGCTGCGGGCTGCAAGGTGCTGGCGTCGGCCGGCACGGCGCTGTACGCGTCGGGCATGGCGGCGCGCTGCAACACGAGCATGCAGGTGAGGGAGGAGAGCGCCAAGGGGGATGCGCGCGAGAGCACAGCTAGGGGTCCGCCCTCGTAGTCAGTCCCTGCAGCCGCACTATCCGCCTCGAAGCTATCATGCACCGACCGTCTCTCTTCCGAAAATCCCTCGACCTCCGCGTTGTGCGGAGTGTGTTGCGGCATGTGGCAGGTGGCGGTGGAGGTGGCGGTGGCGAGCGGGCCGCGCGACATCGTGGTGGGGTACCCGACGGGCGACTTCAGCTGGCCGTGGAACCCCGCCGTCAACTACACGGACTGGCTGCTTAACAACACGCTCTACTCCGGCGATGTCCTCTGTATGTCGCCGCCTCCCCTGTGCTCTCCTTCCTATGCCCTCTTCTATCCTGTCTTCTCGGCCACGCCGCTACGCACGCATATTTTTCCTTCCCATCCGCATCCCTTCCTGCCGTGCCTGCCTTACGCCGTGACCTGCGCCCATCCCTCGCTCTCACGCCCATCTCCTCCCGCTCTCCGCCGCACCGCCCGGCAGACTTCAAGTACGCGGCGCACATGGACGAGGTGTACATCGTGCCGACGCAGGCGGACTACGACGCGTGCAAGTACGACCGATACACGGCGTACTGCAACGCCACGGACGGCGTGGGCGAGGGGTGCTTCAGCAACCCGCTGGACAACTCCACCACCTTCTTCCTCTCCGGCGTCTACAGCCACTGCACCGCAAGCCAGAAGCTCGCCACCGTCGCTCTTGATGGGCCTCCCGGCGCTTAACGCCATGGGCATCCAACGCACTGTGTAACTTAACCGTCGCCGCCGCCGTCGCTCTCGAATTAGCTCCTGGCCATGCCGCGGCTGGCTTGGCATAGCTTGGGGTAATTAGGCTAGTGTGGGAGATCCAGACTCAGAGAGGTCGACACAGGGTCGACTGAGCAGAATACAGGTCCTGATAAGGAACAAGTTGGCTCCTGCCGTCGGAGAGATGAAACCTGGCTGTGAATTCTCTTTTAAATAGAAATGATCGCTTGACAAACACAGTGTACCTGTCAGCAAGATACACGTCACCTCGTTAGCTGAAAGGTGCGAGACCTTGTGGCTCACTTGCTTTCATCAATTACTACTTGTATTCATAAACAGAACTCTGAGGTCCGATGATCACCGATGATGAGTGCTTCGTCTCTTCTTTGCCCTAAAAAAAAAATGTTATTGGGAGCCAAAGGCCGTAATAGCGTTGCTGGGCTCCATTTTGTGTGTCACAATGGATATCGTTGTCTACTTCCTCCTTCTGTGCATGGCATCTACTGTCTACCAGAAGTGCCCTACATAGCATTTATTTCCAAATACCCCTCCTACTGTGCATGCCACTTATTTCCCAAGGACTCGGTGATGTGTGTGCTGCTCCTCCTCCCCCCTCCAGATCCGGAATCAACAGCCCCCCTGTTAAGCAGCAGGCTACCAGCAGTCCCCTGCACACACCTCACAGCAGACTGCCGCCTTCCAGCCATGGCTGCACCCTGCAGAGAAGTGTCAGGGACAGTGTCAGGGAAGCGGTGGGAGGGGTGAAGGTACCCAGGACAAGAAAGCGAGGGCACATGAACAGCAAAGCAATCGGTGAACGAAGTAACGGCGGATATTTAGAGAGGTGAAGCAGTCCTATGGCCCTCAATGTGTGCGCAAGACTTACCCGCACTTGAGACGTTGTGCTGCCAGTGCCACCCTTTGTTCCGCTGAAACTAGTGCATTGGAGGAGGCAGCACGGTCGTCAGCAGCAGCAGAGTCCAGAGTCGCTGCGGTGGTTCGATCGCTCAGAGGAAATGGCCAGCCGTCCGTGGTGCCAAAAGCGTTGAAAAGGAACATGGCGGGCGGTGGGGACTGTGCCACTGATGACAGCCACGACTGCAATCTGCTGCCCACACCGCCCCTCCCCCCGCCACTTGGTGCAATGCGCACTCGCGAGAGGGCGATGCCAGTGCATGGCACACTGCGGCTGCACGACAGGTCGATGCCACGAGTGATGGCCCGGCCTGCTGTGGCGTCGGCGGAGATGTTGGCGTACGTGATGTTGAAGATTGAGAGTGCCTGCTCGCCCGACCCGCACGGCTGCTCGTCGCAGTAGTACTGCCGGGGAAGAGAGGTGGGCAGGGGGCGAGGCCATAGAATGCGGGGAGGGTTTAGTGAGTGAGGGGGCATGGAAGAAGACATCTGGTGAAGAACGAGCAGCGTGACAAGGCACCATGACCTTTGGCAGCACGCAGATAGGGGAGACGGAGTGGTGCATGTGAATACAGCAAGGGGGGTTGCCGGGCGTTGAGCATGGCATGGCACCTGGTTGATGACGATGGGGCGGTCGACGTTGGTCATGGAGATGTTCTCATAGCGCACGTTGAACACGGACCCGCCGCCGCCCTCATACGTCTTGATGCGCAGCCCGTTGGTCAGCCCCGCCAGCACACAGTTGCTCACCGTCACGTTCGACACACACGCCGTCTTGCCACCGTACCCCAGACTCCCAATGCTGCACGCACCCAACACACACGAATGTGTACATGAGTAGGATGGGCGCATACAACTGATAAAAGTGCTCATGGTCCTGCGTGCATGTGGCGCACATGTGTTGTGCATTCAACTATTCATGCTTGAGGAGTCTATTTTTTAGGCGCCTCAAAAATAGACTCCTCACGCATGTGGAGCACATGTGGCGCACATGTGTTGTGCATTCGACTATTCATGCTTGCCACGGGATGCCCTGGTTTTCCTCCCCAACGCCCCCCCAAACAAAGCCTGACCTGATGCCATGGCCAGCTGTGCACGTGACGTTGTTGATGCTGATGGCGGACGACCCCGCCACGATCGACACGTCATCGTCGCCTGGAGGGCAGCAGGCAGGAGGTCGCAGGCAGGGAGGGATTCCTCACGCAAGGCAGTGGCACATTCGAATGGGGCTACTGGGATGCGCGAGGCATTGCAGGGGAATAGTTGCTCGCCCACGCACCTCCATGCAACCATGAGTCGCTGATGCTGACGTGGCTGCACGCTGACACGTGGATGCTGTCCGTATTGGGGCTGGAGGCAGGGCTGCGCGTGGCGACCCCTCGCACCGTGGCGCCCACGCACGACCGCAGCACCAGATGCATCATGGGCGCGTTGCTGCCGAGGGCGGGCACAGCACGGGGACAGGGGACGAATGGCGCGGGGCAAGGTGGAGGTTAGGTCGGGGTCGTGCGCGACAGGGTGTAGGGCGTGAACAGGCTGCTCCTCACCAAGGCTCCCTTGGGCCGGCATCCCTCTCGGTCATCACTCTGCCCCCCCCGCTTACCTCAGCGTGATTCCCGCCACCAGAATTCCCCGCATTTCCGCCAGCAGCAGCAGGTGTGGCCGGCTATTCGCCGGCCGCCGCCAGAGCAGGTCACCTCCGCCGTCAATCCTGCCGGCCCCCGCGATGGTCAGTCCGTCCACGCGCGTTACCACCATCACGGCGCCCCGCGCGATTCGTTTGGCAGCGTTCGGCTCAAACTGGAGGCGCCCGTCGATCTGAAGGGGGCGGGGAACGAGCCGTTTAAGGATCAGGGCGAAAGACGACGAAAATCTTGTTTCAGTCAGAACAAGCCCCAAAACCTGGAAACGCGCATTCAAGAAGCTGAGAGGCCTATGAGAGGCATGGCGGCACTACACGAAGACGCCATAAGGAGCGACGTCGCGCGCGTCACCTGGATGAGCAGCCCCTGTCCTCGGCACGGCCCGTGCCACGTGATCCACGAAGCCACCAGGAAGGTGCATCCGGCGGACAGCAGCAGAGTCGCGCGCTTAGGCGCATCAGAGACGTCCACGGCCGTCAGATTCGCGTCGGCGGCTCCTTGGGGCGCCACCGCAGCATCCATCGCCAGCTGACGTGGCGTCGACGGCGGGGTCACCGCACCATTGCGCGCCGAGTTCGCACTGCCTTGCTGCTGCTGCTGCGCCACGCGTCGCTCGCCTTGCTCCGCTACTCCCGTGGCCAGGGCCGCACTTGCCGCCATTCGACCACTGGTGCCATCTTCACCGCTGGAGCCCACTTTCTCCCCCGAGCCGCTCTGGTCCGCCTTGCTCGCCTCCGCCTGCCTCTTTCCGGAAAGCCCGCTCGACGCCGAGGGCGGCGCAGTGGGGCGAGCCGCTCGGCCACGCGGCGGGGGAGCGGGTGCGCGATACGCGCAAGCAGCGGCGAACGCGGCGTTGAGAGCGGCGGTGTCGTCCTGGACGCCGTCCCCCGCAGCGCCGAAGAACCGCGGGTCGAACACGCCAAGAGGCGACGGCAAGGAGGCGCTGAGACCGGCAGCTCGCGCGGAGGAGGCGGGGAGGCGGACGAAGGGCATGGGAGCCGTCAATGACTGCACGGGGAGGCTCGGCTCTGTTGCGCTAGATGACTCGTGGGAGGGGGGAGGCGAAGCGACGGGATGGATGGACGGAGGTGGAGTCACGCCAAGAGTCGGGATGTTTAAAAGGGGGAGGGTCAGAGGAGCAGGAGAGACGACGATGGCGGCAGCGGGCAGTGTTACGACGGGGAGTGACGTCAGCCAGGGGCTGGCGAGAGGATACGGCCGTATGACGGCGGCGGTGGCGGCAGGCAAAGGTCGATCGGGAGTTGCCTGGTCCGCCGGCTGACGTGCAGACGACGAGCTGCTCGACGCGTCGCTCGACGCGTCGCTCGATGCGTCGCTCGATTCGGGTGCACCAGTAGTAACAGGCGGAGAGACTTCCACAGGGTTGCCGATTAGAAGCTGCGTTGCTCCAGATGACGACACGTCAGCAGCGGCCGAGGCTCTTGGCTGGACTACCACCAGTGATCCCGGGCCGTCATCGCGGGGATCCGCTCCGGCTGCTACTACGAGCGCTACTGGGAAAGATGCTATCCGATCGCCAAGTGAAGGCGATTGAGAGATTTCAGTGGAGTTAGTTACGGACGACTGAACGGCCGGCGGATTCTCTAGATTTGTTATCTCCAACACGATGTCCTCCTTGACGTGATCGCTAATCCCCCCGTATTTCGCGTCGACCGCTCCAGAAGGCGATGCGTCAGTGGAACCAAGTTTTCCCAGCAAGCGGCTCTGCTCCGGGGCGGCTGAAAGCAGATCCGCGGTGGTGGCTGCATCGCCGGTCTGCATGCCATCATCCTGCGAGCTCCGTGTGGCGAGGAGAACAGGGTCTTGCAAGGCTGTCGGATCTGACGAGGGATCCGGTACTTGCGGGGCAGAGTTGGATTCCGGCGGTTGTGGCTGCGAGCAAACACTTCGACACGCCAGCGAAGCGAATAGAACGATGGTTACGAAAGTAGCTCGCGATCCATAACGAATCGCCATTCGAGAAAGACGGAAATAAGTAGCTATGAACAAGGCCCTTGCGTTCAGAGCTAGTGTTGCTTGTGACAAGAATACTATTAGTACGCGAATTTCTGAGACCAGTGCTCCAGTCGCGGTTTTGTACTCGCTCCCATGTTCCCCACAGCAATCTGGCGGCAGGCCAATCCGCCGAGTTGCTGCTCCATGCGTCAGCGGCAGCCTTCCCGCACAGAGGCACAGTCCAATTTCCCGAAAATTGCCGCGCGGTGCGTCTGCGCGCGATCCGCGTAGCAAACATGACACGCGCAAGCAGGAAACAAGTGCTCCCCGTCATAGCTTCATCCGCTCTTTGAATTGAAGCGTCGAAAGAAACATCTCTAGTTGACCTCAAGCTTAGTAGCACTAGTACAGCTTTGATAAAAACAAACAAACATGAGCATGTAGTACATCGTTGCTCAAGTGCACAAGCACCGGCCATGCTGCAATCAAAATTCTCCTGGCTGAAATAAGCCTTGAGCTAGATTTTGAGGGAGAAGAGGTGGTGGTGTTTGCGTAGGGTAAGAACCGGCGGGCTTGGGTGAAGGTGGAGGTGGAGGGAGAACTAGGTTGGCAGGTTCATTTTGCAATAGCCAGGATTTGGTGGCTGTTGCAGGTTGGGCATTAGGTATGACTGGCTCGATGCTGAGAGGTAGGAGAGCGGTGGTTGTTGGGCTGACAGGAACTGCAGACGTAGTATCAGGCAGCTCTGATGCCTGACTGATCCAATCGGCTGATGCCGACGTTGATGCTGCCCACGCAAGGCCACTCCTGCATGAAGCAGCAACCGGGATAGGCAGAAATAGAAGCGAATGATGATGCGAATGATGAGGCGACTGATGAGGCACACAGCTCGAAGATTCAGAATCAGGAAACTCACCCGCCACACTTCTTGTGCTCAACTGCAATGCTGCCCGCACTGGATTTGGAAAGAGTGCGCTGCCAGTAGGAGCCAGGAGAGACGTTGATGCTGCTGCCGTAGGCGTTCTGGTATATGGGCTTGAGCGCCTCCCCTCTGCTGTGCCGAATGCTCACATCACGCATAGTGATCCTCCCACAAGGCACTCGCTCGCTGCACGCAAAATAGATGCCGCCACCGCTGGTGTAGTTGGTGGTGCCGGAGATGCCTTTATAGGAGATGTCAAACACAGCAAGGTTCTCTGGGTGTCCAGTGCATGGCTTCCTCTCACAGTAGAACTGCAGTATGCGGTGGCAGTGAGTGGCAAAAAAAAAACACAAAAGATTAAGACGGCATGCCGCAGGGAAAGATGATAAGGAGGAGGAAACGCGGTGGTTGTCAGCTTAAAGTTTTCTGGACGCTGAGAAAGCGAACGTTCCTCCTAGAGTGCGCTGGCATACCTGGTTGATGATGATGGGGTAGGAGACGTCGCGCATCTTGATGTTCTCGTATCGAATGCCGTGCACCGTGCCCTGGCCGCCCTGGTACGTCTTGATGCGCAGCCCATTCTGCAGCCCCAGCAGCACTGCATTCTGCACCGTCACGTCGGAAACACACGCCTTCTCATGCTCCTTGCCCAGACTCCCAATGCTGCACCCATGCGCATGGTAGGGAAGATGAGGGACAGGGAATACGGAGTGAGAATGGCACACAGCAGATCGTGAGAGGAGAAGGTGAAGGAAATAAGTGAGGGCGATGGCCTGAGTGAGCCTCGTGCATCCGTGATGCCATGGCCACCTGATGCCCACCTGATGCCATGGCCAGCGGTGCAGAGCACGTCTCTGATGACGATGTTGGAGGAGGAGCCCACAATGGACACGTTGTCATCGCCTGCACATGGGCAAGATGCACAAGGTGAGGGCAAGTACACCACCAACCTTGCACGAGACAGTGCCTTCTGTGCATTACAACCACACGTTCGGGCACGCACCACTGAAGTGCATGCGGGTGCGTGCCATGCCATCCTTATGCGATATTGCCACGCCTAACTGGCACATCACCCATCACTCAGTTTCCACAAAACCATCGCCACTTCTCCCATATCGTACACCTGCAGTCTCAATAATTCCCTCCCCGTTCCACCTGATCCACCCATGCCTCTCACCCTCCCCCTCCCTCCATTCCCCCCCCCCCCCCCCCCCCACCCCCCTCACCACCACGGAGCGTGCAGTTCTCAACGACGACGTTTTGTACGACGCCCAGGTGGATGGAGTCGGTGTTGGGGCTGTTGTAGGGGCTGTCCGTGGTGAAGTCGTGGATCCACACATTGCTGCTGTACACCACGCTCAGATGCACCATCGGCGGGTTCCTGCCATGCCATGCCATGCCATACCATGCCACACCACACCACGTCATACCATGCCGCCACAAAGGTCAGGGGAGACAACGAGCCGGATTTGGTGCCATGACATGGTGTGGAGATGGTGCCATGACATGGTGTGGAGATGGTGCCATGACATGGTGTGGAGATGGTGCCATGACATGGTGTGGAGGTGGTGCCATGACATGGTGTGGAGATGGTGCCATGACATGGTGTGGAGGTGGTGGCCCAGCAGAGGAGCGGAGGTGAAAGTGTTGGAGCATGATGCGGTTGAAACATGCAGTGGAGCCAAGTCATGCCACGCAAGCATGCTCTCGGCGTTATCACCATCACGCACACCAGCATGCGCCTCACCGCAGTGTGATGCCAGTGACCTCCACCCCCTCGCACAGCTTCACCTCCAACAGGTACGGCCTGTGCGATCCGTGCCCCCACACAACCTGCCCACCGCCATCCATCACTCCAGACCCCGCGATCACCAGCCGTCGGATCTTTTGGAAGCTGAAGATGGGGTTGACGGCGAGCACGCCCCGCGGGTACACGGACAGGCGCCCCTCCACGCGGACCAGCAGCCCGGCGCCCCCGCACGGCCCCTTCCACACGAAGTTCTTGGACCGCACGAAGAAGTTGTAGCCCCGCGGGAACAGCAGCGTCGCGCGCGCCGGGCTGCCGCCGCTGTACCTGCATGCGGCTAGGAACGCGCGGTTCATGGCGCCGCTGTCGTCCGTCGTGCCGTCGCCCACGGCGCCAAATAAGCGCACGCTGAACACCCCGTCATCGGGCATGGGGTCAGGGGGCGGGGAGCGGCGGGGCGGTGGCGGGGAGCGCCGCAACGGGGGAGGCGATCGGCGCTTTGGCGGCGGAGAACGGCGACGGGGCGGCGGGGAACGACGACGACGCGGCGGTGGGGAACGCCGCCTTCGAGGTGGCGGTCTGCGCCGGGGGGGCGGGGAGGCGCGAGGGGGAAGCGGAGGAGCCACGGGCTTTGGGGGAGGGGGACTGCGGCGGCGAGGGGGAGGCTTGCGCCTCCTGGGAGGCGGAGGGTGGCGGCGAAAGATTGGAGGAAAATGACGTCTGGGGGGTGGATGACGCTTCTTCGGCGGTGGGGGGTTGCGTGGAAGCGCAGGCGTGGTGGGGGTCCTAGGGGGTGGCGGGCGGGGAGGGGGCGGCGGGCGGGGAGGGGGCGGCCGAGGGGGAGGGCGAGGAGGAGGGGGTAACGGAGGGGGCGGGGTGGCGGTGATGGCGGGGGTGGACGAGGTGGAGGGGGAGGGGACGGAACGACTAGGGGAGGAGACGGTGGGGGCGGAGTTGGCGGGGGGAATGGCGGAGGAGGACTAGGGGGCGGAGGAGCGTCTGGTGGCGGTGGGGAGTCTGGCGGGGTGGTGCGTCGGCGAGTGCGCCAACGTCGGAAGTGCTCTGCAAACCAGAGAGGAGCGGGGCGGGGGGTGGTGGAGGAGCGGGGCGGAGTATGGGGGAGAGCGGCGGAGGGGGGATCACAGTGCGAGTGGGCGGAGGGGATGGCAACGCTGCACCACCGCCAGTAGCCCCGCTAGGTTTCGAGGGGCGGACAAGCCGGCGGAAGGGTAGGAGGAAGGAGAAGAGAATGCGGTGGAGGAAGTGATCGGGGGAAGAGGCAGGGGGAGGGGGGGGGGGGTGCATTGTGGGGAGGGACGGCGTGGGGGAAGGAGCAGGGATAGGCGGGGGATAAAGCGACGGAGTATGCGGCGGTTGGGGTATTAGTCCCAGATGCGGGCAGGTAGCGGCGACGGGAACGGACGGAGACGGGACTGACGGTGATTGGTCTGACTCGTCTGACTCGTCATCTGACGTGGCAGCGCGGGGGTTGGGGTTGAGGTTGGAGGTGAAGAGGGAGGGTTGGAAGCCCGGCAGCGGCATGAAGGGGTAGATGAGGTGCAGGTCCGACGAGTTGAGGGGACCCAGCGCCGTCGCGTTCACCGCCCACGCCTGCTGCTGCGCTCCCCGAGACACACCACCGCCGGGGAAGCGCAGCGACCGCGGCGGCAGCTCCCGCACTCGATGCCTTGCGAATGGCTGCTTGCCACCGCCAGTCACGAGCTGCGAGGAGGCTACGCGGCGTGAGTGGCGCGGGATGGGGGAGTGGGGCTCCGGGTGGTTGCGGAAAATCCGCGGGCCCACGCCGATCAACGGCTGGCGAAGGCGAGGGGAAGTGAGATTTGAGGGGAGGGGCCGCCAGCGGGAATGGTTCAGGAGCGGGGGGCGGAGGAATAGCGAGTGAACGACGGGCGGGGGGGACGAGGTGGCGGGATGCGAGCAGTTGGCGATGCGCGTGTGCGTGCAACGCGGTACGGCATAGAAGCACGCGGGGAGAGGGGAGCACGAGGCGAGAGGCAAGGGCCTATCGGCGTGCCACACGCAGTGGTCGACAGTGCACGGATCGCCATCGTCGCATGCCGCTGTTGGGATACGGGGGCACAAGGTGTGTGCGGTGTTCCAAGGAATATAAGCGAGAGGGAGGGTGGCGGAAGAATCATAAAGCGTAATGGCAGTCACGTCGTACACCTAGATCATGTCGCAGCGTAACCTTGATCATGACGCGCCGAGCTCGAGCAGTGGTACCCACGGAGCACTACGTCGCGGTTTTTGAGGCGCCTCAAGAGACGACGCGCCGAACTCGAGCAGTGGCACCCACGGAGCACTACGTCGCGGTTGCACCTACGCAAACAGCGACCGGGAGGCTCGCACCTGGTCGGACCACGGCGATCTCGCAGGACGCGGTGAGCAGGAAGCGGCAGTCGCCCGACAGCCCTGTGCTGCCCTCCGCGGGCGCCCAGGCGTCCTCGAAATTCAGCAGTGGACTGACAGGGGGAAGCGCGGGGAACGCGCGGAACCAGATGATGGAAAAGCGGAGCGGTTGGAACGCGGGAGAGGACAGTACGACCCATATCAGCTAAATGCGACAAAGCGCCATTGATCTGCAGCTACGAGCAACATCGCAGGAAAATAACGGCGAGGGGTGCGAACGACAGCAGTTTCTCCGAACGCACCTGACGGGATTCACGTCGATCTTTCTGAACCGGCCGCCTACCACGTCGAACACGCACGCTTCTGTTGGCGGATCTGCGTCTACTGAGTCGCCAGTGGTTGGTTCGTCTGGCAACACGGTCTCACTTGACGACTCTAGTTCTCGAGCCCGCGGGTAGCTCACACGGTCTCGCAGCGAGCTGCTGCGATGAACGGCGGGTACCACGCGCACTCCACACGCCAGCAGCGCGACCAGAACGAGTAGGAGAGGCAGAGTGTGCCGGAAAGGAATGGCGGCCTGCATTGCGCAGCACAGTCAGTGGCCCGACGCTGCTAGTACTCGCACGTGTCTCTCGACATCTCTAACCAGTAGTCTGTTGGGACATGTCGTGACATCGAAGCTGCAGGCAACGGTGGCCTGTCTGATCGACGCAGCAATCAGTGTTCGGAACCAGTACGCATACTAGGTTACGCATACTAGGTCGAACTAGGTCGACACCAAACTGTCTGTGACCTTCCAGGCCCAGAAAACAGTTTTGTCTGACTCCAGTGACTTTATTCTCTACTAAAGAATGTGTTTGATTCACGTCCTCCGGGCAAATCGTTCCAGTCGAGTTTGATGGAGCTTGCCACATTCTAGGGGATTCTGTTACTCGACAGTGCCATGGACTGGAAGAGCACAGCAGAGCAGACGCACTGTCGCAGGATCTGGGGGGGGGTGGGGGAGGCGGGGTTGCATCATGCATGGCCAGTCATGGCAGCAGGGCATGTCAATGATGCCATGTGGATGGGTCAAGGGGACCTCTCCTCCAACCAGGGGGGAAACTGTACGATGTATTTGAATGAACCCGTGCCGTGCGACACAGACAGGTCAATGATAATATACGGTCTAATCTGGTGCCTAAAGGTTCAAAGCGGTGAATAACGGAAACCGGTTTCAAATGTGTTGCACCGTACACCACCGCAAACATTGTCTGCGAGACGTACTCTTGGAACCCGCCCTTTGAAACTGTACATTATTTGTACGTTTTCAGACAGGTCAATACTGTACCGTATTGTATTGTATTGATTCCCGACCGACCAGACAGTGGCTGTCAGGCGCGAAACAGATCCCACCTGGCACCTGCCCACAAAGTTTTGGGCTTTCATTGCTGTGTGTCGGAAATAGGCGCTTCTATTGGTGAGCCACTCCTGAGCTGGCGGTTTTTCTGCTGGGATAATGAGTGGCCAGTGCAAGCGAACCAAGAGGAATCTGCTCCAAGTTGTCTGCCACGCTGGGGAAAGGAGTTATAGCCCGTAAGGTTACAGAGACTGTGAATACACGAACATTTTCTTTGTTATACTTGTAACCAATCTGCTGAAATGGGTGAAATTATGAGGGTTAATCAAAACGTCAACAAGCAAGGACACGCCCTATATACAACTCACCAACAGGGCAATATAACTTCACAGATAAACCAGGTGGGACAATGTATGGCTGTGTATATACCCTCCTGATATACATTGCAACAATACCTTCCCAAAAGTCATATCACTAAAAATAGTGGTACACAATAACTTATCCATTGTTTAATTTGTGGTGAACTTGAAACATAGTAGGTTGTACACAAGCGAATTGCACCAGTATGCATTCCATTTCTGCTCATTGTGTAGAGAGCCTTTTAGGAAGCCAGTATGCTAGGCGAAGAATCTGACATGAGGAAAGTGTTAAATGATATAATTTATATAATTGTAGGCTTGGTCCTTGTGATACTTACTGGAACCTACTGTAGAGGCTACAACTCCCTCCTTGTATCCCTCTCTCTTCTAATCTCAACTCTCTTCTCTATCGTCAACTTTTCCTAGCCTAAAACCTCACGCCATTCCATGGCTCCTCCTACTCCTAGCTAGAACTATTCTAGTATTCTAACATGGTAATAGAGCAGGTTCAACCTGCTGGACCTACTTCCCACGCTTCCGCCGCGCACTCTTCCACTCTCTCTCGCGCTGCCATGGCGGCCGCGTCGTGCTGCTGTGGCGGCGTCGTCATGCCGCCGGCCGCGTCGTGTTGCCGCGGCGGTCTCGACGCTGCTGCCGTGGCACCCTCGTCGCGCTGTCGTGGCGTCGACGTCCAGCCATAGCGGTGTCGTCGTGCTGTCGCGGCGGCGTCGACGCACCAGCGCACGATCGGCAGCGGCAGCGCCGGGCCAGCCATGACGCCGCGCTGACGATCCGCCCTCTACCCCTTCCCCCTTCCCCTCCTTTGCCTTTCCCTTCCTCTCCACCACAGCTGCTGGCGACCTAGTGCCGTCCTCCCCCTCATTGTCTCAGGTTGAGCCATGCCGCCGTTGCCTCGGGTGCCGCAGCCGCCGTCGCCAGGTGCCTCGACGCCGCCGCCGCCGCCGCAGTCGTTGACGCCGCCGCCGCTGCGACCCGCCGTCGTCGTCGCCACCTCGATCGCCGAGGGGTCGATTGGATGGTCGGCGCCACTGCTGCTGCAGGGAATGGGGGTGGAAGGAAATGGGGTGCTTGGGGTGGGATGGGCTTGCCACTACCAAGCCTAGGGGGTGTGTTAAATTATATATTTTATATAACTGTAGGCTTGGTAGTTGTGCTACTTACTGGAACCTACTGTAGAGGGTACAACTCTGTCACATGATAGAATGTGTCGAGGAAAGATTGCACTATCCATAAGTGTAACGCGCTTTTATACTTCCTGAGTACATCAGGTAACCAGGTTTATCTTATCCTAAGGAAATAGACCCTTCTAGAAGATAGAATCACCCTGCGTATAGCCACACGAGGCTATTGGCTTTAAGGGATTACAACAAAATTACGCTAGATATAGCGCCCAGTACATCCCAAGCCTGGTCGGCGATATAACTATAATAGCATGATAAACCAAAGGTTAATGGAAAAGGGAGAATGGGAAACCAAAAGAGATGAGATAAAAAGAGAAATGAAAATAGGAAGGAAGTAGAAAAAAGGCCAAGTGGTGTAACGGGGTCGTACTCTCACACTTCCCCCCCTCAAAGCTGGGTGGTAGAAGTAACACCCTGCTTGACAAGGTAGTCATGCAGAGGACGACGGGCGTTACCCATGTCGGTCTTACGTACCCAACTGTCCTCAGAAGGATCATAACCCTTCCAACGGATGAGAAGCTCCACGGTGCCATTCCGACGACGGCGGTGTGCAAGCACGGACTTGACCTCGTACTCGGGTTCATTCTGGACGAGGACGGGCGGCGGCGGCGGGGGTTGGCGTCCGACGAAGAAGTTGGACATGGAAGGCGTTGTGAATCTTCCAGGTAGCTGGCAGGCATAAGCGGAAGGTAACAGGAGTGACCAGTGCTTCAACGAGAAAAGGTCCGTAGAAGCGAGGTCGAAGTTTAGATGGGAGGTGCCTGATGTCCAGGTTGCGGGTGTCAAGAAGCACCTGGTCTCCCACGGTAATGGTCGTGGCGATGGCGATCGGCCTGGTGCTTTTGTTGCTGTTGAATGTCGAGGAGGCGCTTGTGGGTCCGATCCCAAAGCTGATGCATGGTTGTGATGAAATCATGTGCCGGTTGGAATGTAGCTAATGCTGTCGGTTTTTGTGGTGTGAGTGGGTGGCGTCCGTAGCAAAGGAAGAACAACGTCTGTCCAGTAGCGGCATGTGTAGCATTGTTGTAAGCAAACTCTAGTACGGGCAGGTGCAAGTCCCATTTGAAGATCTCGTCCTTGCACGCTGCTCGGAGGAGTTGCTCAACAATTTGGTTGAGGCGCTCGGTCTGTCCGTCTGTCTGCGGATGGTAGGCGGATGACATGGCGAGTTTGGTCCCGAGGAGAGACATAAGTTCCTTCCAGAACTTGCTGGTGAACTTAGGGTCTCGGTCGGAGATGAGTGTGGTTGGAATGCCATGCTGTGAGATGATGTAATGAACGAAGAGTTGTGCTGTTTCTTCGGTGCGTGCTATCGTGTGTGTCGGGATGAAGTGTCCCATTTTGGAGAATTTGTCGATGACGACAAGGATGGCGTCATGACCGCTGGAGGTAGGTGGTAACCCGGTGATGAAGTCCAGGCTAACCACTTGCCATGGTTGTTCTGGGACAGGAAGAGGCTGCAGTAGTCCCGCCTTTTTCTGCTTGGTACTCTTCATCCGCTGACATGTATCACACGAGGTGACGAATTCCTGAACATCTTCTGCCAAGTGGGGCCAGTAGTAGTGCTTTGCGATACCGGTGAGCGTTTTGTTGCTACCGAAGTGTCCGGCGTAGAGGACATCGTGGTATTCTTCGAGTAGTAACTAGCGCAAAGGAGGGTAATTCGGTACCCAGATTTTCGTTGATCCTTTCCGGTACGCGATGTCACTGTCCCACTGTAGCAGATGTCGTTTCTCTGCCAAGGGAATTTCGGGGTCGATGGTGTACCCATGTGTGAGAAGTCCCTTGAATAGTGGATTCATCTATTCGATCTGAATAGCGGCAACGTGTGCAGGTCGGCTGAGAGCGTCTGCTTTGTTTTTGTGGCCGGGCTTGTACACGATATCGTAGTGGAAGTGTGTCTCGAGGAAGTCGATCCACCGGACCTGCCGCCGGGAAAGGTTGGGTTGTGTCTTCAAATATTTCAGGCTGCAGTGATCGGTGTAGACGCTTGTTCTTCGTCCTTCGAGATAACATCTCCACGCTTTGAAGGCGATGACGATGGCAAGGGCCTCTTTGTCATGTATCGGGTAGTTTAGTTCCGCTCCGTGCAATTTCTTGCTGAGGTAGGCGATTGGTTGCAGTCCATTTCCCTGGTCTTGCATTAAGACTGCTCCCACAGCCTGGTCGCTGGCGTCAGCTTCGATGACGTAGTCGCGTTCGGGATCTGGCAAGTTGAGTACTGGTGCGGACGTAAGTGCTTGCTTCAGCTGCTCCATGGCTTCCTAGTGCTTTGGCTCCCATTTGTAGGGCGTGTTCTTCTTCAGTAGATTCGTGAGTGGTGCTGCGATTTTCGCATACTGTGGCACGAACCTGTTGTAGTAATTAGCGAAGCCTAGGAATTGCTGCAACTCCTTCACGTTCTCGGGTGTCTTCCACGTACGTACGCCTTCGATGTTCTTGGGGTCGACGTGAACTGCTTGAGCGCTCACCATGTGTCATAGGAACTGGACCTTCTCAAGGGCGAATTTGCTCTTGGACAGTTTGACGTAGAATCGTTCTCGTCGAAGAAATTTGAAGACGTGTCGCAGGTGTTTGACGTGCTGCTTCATGTCGCGCGAGTAGATGAGTATGTTGTCCAGGTATACCACCACGCACTCGTCCAAAAGTGGTCGTAGAATGTGGTTCATTTCGGCTTGGAACGTTGCCGGTGCGTTGGTAAGTCCGAAAGGCATTACCAAATACTCGTACGATCCATACCGAGTTCGGAAAGCAGTTTTGTGGATAGAGTTGTCCGCCATCCGTATCTGCCAGTATCTCGACCGCAGATCCAGTTTGGAAAATACCGTAGCTCCCCGAAGCTGGTCAAGCAGGTCATCGATTCGCGGTATCGGATATTTATTATTGATGGTCTGCTTGTTAAGAGCTCGGTAGTCGATGCACATGCGCAAGCTTCTGTCCGGTTTCAGTGTGAAGAGTACTGGGGCACCGTAC